GCTATTTCCAGACACTTCTGATTACAGTGAACATCTCAAAATATGTATACATTTTTTTGCACACTCAGTATACAGAGGGGGAACTAGGATCTTACCTAACCCTACATTCAAAGGTAGATTAAAGACCTAAATGTGAAAGATAAGACTATGAGGCTACAAGGCCACTGCACTCCAGCCTGGGCAACAGAGTGAGACTCCAACACACACACACAACAAAAAGGAACCAACCAGACAAAAAAACTATGAGGTTACAAGAAGACAGCACATAAGATAAATTGTTAGGACCTAGCAATGGGGAAAGATTTTCTTAACAGTGTCAAGAACACAAATTCTGAAGAAAAAAAAGATTTCTACCCAACAGAGAACACCACAGACAGAGTTAATACAGATGGCAGAATGGGAGAAGGAAGGATGCACAAACACATCTAGACTATACAAGGAATTCCTGCATGTCAACAAGAAAAGGACATCTACACTAATAGAAAATATGAGTGGGCAATTTACAAAAGAGGGAATTTAAAATACTAACAATCACATGAAGAGATGTGTCATTGTTAGTAAAGAGAAAAATGCAAATGAAGAGCAACGAGATACCATGACTCCTAATATGAGGGGGAACCCCAAAACACTGGAATTTTTTAATTAAAAAATTGTGTATTTATTCTTACGTGTTTAAACTTCTGTCACCTTCAAAGTATTCTCCATTTGATACAATACAGCTATCGAGATGCTTTTTCCACTGCTATAAACAGGTTTTGGGTTTTTTTTTTTTACCTCATCAGCTTTGATGCCTTTTAATGTTTCTGCCTTTTTGTTTCACCTCGTCCACATCACATTTCCCTCTGAGGACTCTTTTCATCCGGGGAAACAAGAAATGGTCACCGGGGCGAGATCGGGTGAATAGGGAGGATGGGGCATGGGCGTCATGCTCTGTTTTGGTCAAAAACTGCTGAACACTCAAAGCGGTGTGGGCAGGTGCACTGTCATGGTAGAGTCAGTCACCAGTTTGCCACAACTTGGGAACTTTCTGCTGCAAATCGTGATGCAACCTTCTCAAAACTTCCAGGTAAAAACTTTGGTTGACCATTTGATCCAGAGGAACAAATTCTGAATGTATTACAAGGGCCCTGCCCTCCATAAAATAATTCCAGTTTGTTTTGGGTTCCCCTTGTATACTGGCAACTACTAGAAAGCTGGAAAATGCCACTTTAGAGAAGTCACCTTTGGGAGAAGGAAACAAAAGGAGAATGGAGAATGACGGGGGTATGAGGATAAAAGAGAATCACCAAACTGCTTTGGTATCTCCATGCCATTTATCACAATCCAGACGCTCTAGAGCCAGATTACCTGGGTTCAAATCCCAGCTCCATCATTTACTAGATGTTGGTTACTCTTTTGCCTCAGTTTCCTGTTATAAAGTGGGGACAATAGTAGTACCCCTGTCACAGGGTTGTCGCCAGCATTGAGAATTATGTGTAAAATGCCTAGCATAGAATAACCCTTGTGGGAGATTTCTCCACTTGGATGTTAATCAGCCATCTTGACTCAGATTAACTTCAGTTTGGGAATGCCTTCCGATTCCTACCTTATTTACTGTCCTTAGTGTGAGAATATGTACTCACAATAAATCCTACCTTTAGATCAAAGTGAACTTGATGTGATTGGTTACAAATGATAGGCTATGACGCACATAGCATTCGTGCCTGTTCTGAAGGGTTGCCTTCCATTGTTTCACATATTCTCTCTAGAGCACGCACACCCTTTCCCTATGGTACATAAGCCCTGAGTCTGAGAAGGAGAGGTGCAGAGACCCACCTGTCTTGCTACCACCCATGACCACACTTCTGCCTATAAGTTTCCCAACAAATCACCCTTTACCGAAAAACTGGATTTGTCTGCCTCGTTCTTTGGTTTCTTGGCTCCTTCCGCATTTGGGGTCGTTTTGAAATTATGGCCCTTTCACGAAACACCCCTCTAAGATGTTTGTTGTGTGGTTTGTGTTTAATGTCTCTCCCGACTCTACATATAAAACACAAATGAAATGAAAAAAGAGCAGGTGGTTCCTCTTCGTGGTTTTTCCTTATCTCTCTGGCATATAAAACAACACCTGGTACCTGGCAGGCCTTCGACAGGTATTTGATGATTGAATGAATGAATGGGGGAAGGAGAGGGTGAAGGTAGGTGAAAGGATGAGGACCGTGGGGTGGGGTCCCTCTCTCTCCTCGAGGTCCTTGCCCCAAGGATCAGGGGCCACTCACTTGGCCCACTCACTCGAAAGAAGTCACGAAGCAGGTCTGGGAAGGAGCCCCGGGCACCAGCATTAGGTTGTTTTCCACGCTCCAGCCATTCCCGCCGTGCTCCATCTCCCAGCCTCTGAAGCCCTCTGTGGGAAAACAGTAGGATTGAACATAAGATCGGCCAGCCTGCTTGCCCAGCCAAGACCCCGCCACCACCCAACTGGTCCCACCCCGTCCCCCCTCCCGCGCTCCAACCCTCCCCCTGGCTTCCCCTAGGACGCCTCCTTCTAGTATCCTGCATTCCTGCTTCCACCCCATGGCTGCGTCTCTCAGTCCTACCCATCCATTCAACTCTTCCTCAGTCCCATTTCCCTGCTCCTTCTCCTTCGGTACCGCCCCTCTGTTACGCCTTCCTTCTGTAGCGCAAGCGGCCTCCTTTCTCTCCCGGGCCCGCCCCGGCCCCATCCTCCCGCCTTGCCCCGCCCACTCCCCCGGTTTCCCCGCCCCTCGCCCACGCCCATTGGGCCGCCCCGCACCCCGGGCCCCTCCTCCTCCAGCCACGCCC